TTGTTTAATCAAAAGCCCAACTATCAGTTTCTTAAAACCTTTGGGTGTGCATGTTTTCCATTTTTGAGACCTTACAATAGATACAAACTTGAGTTTCGTTCTCAAGAATGCTTGTTCCTTGGCTACTCCACAAATCACAAAGGTTATATTTGTTTAAGTAGAGAGGGCAGAGTCTATATCTCCAAGGATGTTTTATTCAATGAATATAAATTTCCTTATCATTCTTGGACTGACACCAGAATTAGTCCCACTCCTCCAATCCTTCCTGTTTCTGCTCACATTCCTCTTGTGTCTCCTCCTTCCTCTACTCCCACTACTCACACTTTGTCTCCTGTACAGTCTCAATCACCATTGAGCTCTCCTTTGCAGTCCACCTCTCAATCTGTTTCCTCTTCTTCTTCTTCTTTTCACAGCCCTCTTCCTGCCCAAACAGTGCAGTCTTCTCCTGATCCCTCCTCCACTTCTTCTTCTTCCTCAATTTCTGAATATATTCCCCCAAACTCCTTACCACTAATTCCACTTACACACTCTATTCAGACCAGATGTAAGACAACAACTAGATCCATTGCTTTCCTTGCTCATATTGAACCATCTACTGTGAAACAAGCTCTAACCAGTCCCCCTTGGTTTGAGGCCATGAAAGTTGAGTACAATGCCTTAATGACTAACAATACATGGACTCTTGTGTCTCTGCCTCCAAACAGGAATTCAATTGGCTGCAAATGGGTATTTAAGGTTAAAGAAAATCCTGATGGTTTAGTGAATAAATACAAGGCTAGACTTGTGGCTAAGGGATTTCATCAAAAAGAAGGTTTTGACTACAATGAAACCTTTTCACCTGTAGTCAGACCTGTCACCATTCGAATAATGCTCACTCTTGCTCTCACTCACTCCTGGTCAATTAGGCAGCTGGATATTAATAATGCTTTTCTCAATGGTGACTTACAAGAAGATGTCTACATGTCACAGCCCCCTGGTTTTGAAAATTCTGATAAGAGCTTAGTTTGCAAGCTCAATAAGGCATTATATGGCCTTAAACAGGCTCCTAGAGCATGGTTTGACAAGCTCAAGGGTGCTTTAATTCAGTTTGGATTCCGGTCAAGCTGTTGTGACCCTTCCTTGTTCATTTCCAAAACATCTTCTCACTGCACTTACATCCTTGTACATGTGGATGATATCATTGTGACTGGTACTAATGCTTCTTATATTCAGCAACTTCATTCTCAGTTTGCACTAAAGGATCTTGGCAATCTTGATTACTTTCTCGGTGTTGAGGTGAAGCCTCATATTTCTGGTGGCTTGGTGTTGTCCCAGTCTAAATATCTACGTGATTTACTCACTCGGGCTGATATGTTTGATGCTAAAGGAATTTCTTCTCCCATGCCTTCTCACTGTAAGCTCTCAAGGTTTGGATCACACTATTTTTCATATCCTCTTCTCTACCGGTCAATTGTGGGTGCTCTTCAGTATGCCACCATCACTCGCCCTGAAATTAGTTATGCTGTCAATAAGGTTTGCCAATTTATGGGACAGCCTTTGGATGACCACTGGAAAATTGTGAAGAGAATTTTAAGATACTTAAAAGGGACTCTTACCTTCGGTCTTGTTCTTCAAAAGGCAAATCCCCAGCTTCCCTTTACTCCCACTGCTTACTGTGACGCAGATTAGGCAAGTGACCCTGATGACAGGCGTTCCACTTCAGGTGCAGCCCTCTTCTTGGGTCCTAATCTTGTCTCTTGGTGGTCCAAGAAGCAAACTCTTGTAGCAAGGTCCACAACTGAAGCTGAATATAGAAGTTTAGCACTTACTTGTGCTGAAATCTTGTGGATTAAGTCTCTTCTTTGTGAATTACAAGTCTCCTTTGACACTCCCCATGTCTTCTGCGATAACCTTAGCACAGTGGCTCTCTCCCATAATCCTGTTCTGCATGCCCGCACAAAGCACATAGAACTGGATATCTTTTTTGTTCGAGAGAAAGTGCTTGCACATGAGATTATTGTCCATCATATTCCTGCCTCAGATCAGCTGGCAGATACTTTGACAAAGCCTCTTCCTTCTGGACATTTTACAAATCTAAGAGCCAAACTCAGAGTTCTTGATTCAGTGGCTCAAGATCCCTGAGTTTGCGGGGGTGTATTAGATATATAGTTGTAGCTTCTTTAAATGTACCCGCATGTATCAGATACTTTCCTATACAGTTTGTTACAGATCTGTTAGGTGTTAGCTGTCAATTAGTTAGATCATCACTCTATATATATATTGATAGAGTGCACACTGTATATTCAGATTACATAATACAATTCATACATTCTCTCTCTTCTCTCTCTCTCTTTCTCTCATCTATGGATTCTCTCAAGAACTCAAACAACAAGAGATGATAACAGCATTTGCCCAAAAACGGAGTGGAACATTCATATGAATGAGAAAGGTACGTGCAATTTCAACCAGATATCCATTTTTACATTCGGCCACTCCATTTTGATGCGAAGTGTAAGGACAGATGGTTTGGTGTAACGTCCCATGTTTCTCCAAAAAAATCAAAAAATTCAAAGAAACATGCTCTTTCGCACTATCACTGTGCAAGATTCGAATAGAAGCACTAAATTGAGTATTAATCTCAGCACAAAAAATTTTATAGATAGAAAATAATTCAAAACGATTTTTTATTAAATAAACCCAAGTGCAATGAGAAAAATCATCAATAAAAGTCACAAAATACTGAACACCCAAAACAGACATAATTCGACTTGGATCCCAAATATCAGAATAAATAATAGAAAACGGAGCATCAGCTTTTTTATTGACTCTATTAGCAAAGGAGGAGCGGGCATGCTTTCCTTGCTGACAAGACTAACAGTTTGAAGATTGAAAACTAGACAAAAAAGGAACCATTTGCTGAAGCTTGGAGAGACTTGGATGACCTAGATGGTGTGGACTACTTCAGGAGACTTCGTCAGAGAGCACGCCACTGGAGAATTTGGCGCAGTTAGATACTAAAGACCTCGTGACTCACGACCCACTCCAATCGTCTTCCCTGTACCCGGATCCTTCATAGAGACAGATTGGTCAAAGAAGATAATAGTGCATGAAAGAGAATGGATGAACTGGCTAACAGATATTAAATTGAAGGGAATGCCAGGAATATAAAAAACAAAGGTCAAAGTTAAATAGGGAGTTGAGCTGACTTGTCCAATGCCACGAGGAGAGGCCTTGGTGCCGTCAACAAGAGTAACAGAAGATAGATTATTAGAATAAGTAAGGTAATGAGATCCTTATTACCACAAATAGAGGTGGCAAAGCGGGCTGCCCGCCCCGCTCTGCCCCAGCCCGCCATAAGCCAACAAAAAATGAGCTGGCCCGTCCCGCCTTTGAAGGTGGGCTAGAAAACTCAGCCCATCAAGCCCGTGACATTTTACACTTAAAAAAAAATTAAAATTCAGCCCGGGCCGGATGGCAGGCTTGTCGGGCGGCGAGATTGAAAAATTCAGCCCACCCCGCCCCGTTTGGCGGCCGGGGCAGGCCGAGCCCGTTTTGCCACCTCTAACCACAAAGGTGATCAGTAGCACCTGGGTCTATTATCCAGGGTCCAAGAGATGATTGAGAAAGACAAGCAACATGAATACCAATATCTTGGGCAAGAGTCTGGGAAGAAACCTTCTTAAGAAGAGTCTCATAATCTGCACTCAAAATAATTACTAATCCAATAGAGGGTGGCGCAGCATCGGTCTAAGCAAAGTTGGCAGTTGGTAGCTTCAAGTGAGGGTGCTTCCTGCAGCAACGCTCTTCAACGTGTCCAAGGTTCTAGCAATAGTTGCAATGAGGCCTCTGTGCGCGGCCATCCTGTCCATGGCCATGTCCGCGACCGCATCCACTGTTCTAATTGGAATCATTGGCAGGAGAGATAAGGGGAGTTGAATCGGTGGCTGGCACATGAGAAAGAGTAAGTACATGTGCAGGTGCTGCTTTATCTTTAAAGTTCCGGAGGCGCTGAAAAGTATGTGACAGGCTAGGAGTCCCAGCGCTGGTTAGAATATTCTCACGAACACTTTCTAACTCCTCTGGAAAACCGGAAAGGGTTACAACCATAAAGAAGCACTCCACCTGCTTCTTGTACTCAGAAGCATCCGCAGCATGAGGTAACATAACTAAGAATTTCTCCTTCAAAAGTCTCCATTCGAACATCTGGTGATTTGTGCAATTCCATTATCTGAGAAACAATGGAATAAAGTTGTTGAATGTCTTTGGTGTAGAGGATTTTGGCTTCCTCCCATACGTCATAGCAAGTCTCAAAGGGGATGAAAATATCTATAACTGTCGGATCAATGGATTGCAAAAGGATACTCGAGTTGGGCATCAATCTTTTTCGAAACAGATTTCTGATCCTTAGGGATATAAGCAAACTTGGTCATCAAATGTTTCCCGTGTTCTTGACCAGTAAACCAAATCTTAACGGAGGTAGACCAAGTCTTGTAAGTAGTAGATCAGGTTAGTTTCTGTGGAAGCGAGGTTTCCCAGAACACAAGCTCTGGTACCAACTTGAGAATATGGAAATTAGAATACTATATTGTGTATTGAACTGATACAAAGGTGTACAATATATAGAGACACTAATGGGCTTAAAGGAGAAGCCCAGACCTAACCAAAATTCTAATGAAATAAGGAAACAAATATTCACAAATAATAACGTAATATATAAAGATAATATTTCTAACACATTTCAACATTGCAGGTAAGAAAATGTCATGTTAAGAAGCATAACTACTTTAATTCACATAGGTTCAACCTCAAGAAGATAACTCAGTCGCACCAATGTATGTATGTGTGTGTGAATCTTTACAAAACTCCACTCAAACAAAAGAAAAATCAAAGTGAAATGCAAAAACATGATCACCATGACTTCAACATCCAAAGGTTGTTACAGATACAAATAATTAAGTAGTTCACAAGCAGTACATAAATGTCTCATTCTATACTTTAATACAATAAAACATGGTAAATACCTCAGCCAATTGAAGTTTCCCTATTTCCACAAGTTCCCTGGCTTCTGAACAAACAGGAACTGAATGCTTGACAACTGGACGGAGATCCAAGACATCTGATGTTTGGAAGGGTGTTGTAGAATTAAGATCATATTTACGAGCTGCAATGGTTATACCAACCTGAAATCCAAGTATTGTTTAGGCATGCTGAAAGTTAAACCCACTCACTGAAGCTTTCCAGATATAATATTTAATAGAGGAATGGCAAAAGAGGTTAAAAGTAATATTCGATAACTCTTCACATCAGATGTAGTAGTGAATAATGTTAAGATCCTCTGAACAACTATTTTAAGGTATTATGATATTTGCAGACATTAAGCGCAAACATACATTGCACAAAAACATGAGGAAAGTAGAGAGAGAGAGAGGATCAAAATATCAAAAGCATAATAAAGTTAGAAAAATGAATATCATTTACATACGATAGAAGGAATAGGTTTTACAGTCCTAACCTTTCTAACATGCATCAAGATACACAAGGTTAAGATGAGAAACTCTCCACATGATGCAAAGGTTAACGAGTAAGCATAAATCTAGAGCAAAATGTGTTTTGGGGAGGGGGGGCTATCGAAAGAATTGAAACAAATCAGACATAGAAAAATTAAGTTAAAATCATTTGCATAACTACAACACGAACAAATTCAAATATGAACTGAATGAATAATACTTACCTTCTGACACAAATTACGCATAACAGAAATTTTCTTCACACGTGACCTTGCATCCTCAGGCAACTCAAACTGCAACAATAAATCAACAAAGAAATAAAGAAAGAAACATAAAATGTGCAGAGGACCAATTTCACAGTACCAAAAGACAGACGTTTAGATCCCACAGAATGAATGTAATAACATATATTATGGATGTACTAAGCAAACTCTACAATGATTACTGCCATAGCCACACATCTGATTCAACGAAAAACAGTCAGAAAAACAAAATGTAAATGCGTGCATACGTGCTTTAACCAGATTGAAAACACCCAACTTCATAGTATTACATTGTCCCGGTGAAAATTATACATTCATCTTAGGCAACAACTGATACCTTGTATTTGATCATTGCAAATTCTTGAATGTCAGACCAAAGAGCTTCAGAGTTAATATTAATATACAAAGGTTGACTCTTTCTTAAAGAAGCCCTGTCTTTCCATCGTGCTTGCCTTTTGGAATGCTTACCTGGAGACTGGTGCCCTGCATGTTCCTGTAAATGAAAAGCAAGGATGAATCATTCCTAAGGACCTCATAGGCACACTGCATTACAAACTATTTAGCTGGAACTTTATATAGCTTACAAAATTTGACAGCAAAACAAAAAGATTAGATGAAAAATAATTTGTACTGCCTAAGAAGGAAAAGTTCATAGATCAATTCAAGGGATCATAGACTAAAAGAACTAGCAGATTAGCTGGAAATAGTTGCAGATATCTTGAAATGATCCAACCATACTGGACAAACCTTTTTAGGAGTTCCAGACTGGGTGCCATTAGCAATTACTTTTGCACCAGGAGCTTGACAACTTCCAAATAAGCAGTTCAACAAATGAGATATTGCCGGAGCAAGATCATGGTCCGCAGTGTCTCTCAATACATCCTGAAAATCGTTTGTCATTGCCAAACAAAACCACAGAATATCAGAAGCTTAATATGCATGTTATTGGTGCACGTGAATTAATTTAACAAGTGATTTTCAAACAATGGCTTATCCTCTGTATGAGCCAACAAGTCAACATAGAAGAAAGTATATCAAATTCCTCATGCACATGCAATATTGTATATCAACGAAGTAAGAAGGCATCCACATATTCGTTTATATCAAAAAGGAGGAACACAAGATGTTGAGCATGACACAGTTAATAATCTACTAGATAAAAATAAGGGAAATGTAAGTATTATGTTACATGATGTAAGTTGTGTCATGTTACCCTCCTTATAACTATGTACTACGGGTAATACATAGTTATAACATTAAAAAAAAAAAATCTCTCTCCTCAGTCACTTATCAAAAGTTGTTGGCTGACTAGGAGAGAGAAAAAAAAAATTAATATTATAACTATGTAATACCCGTAATACATAGTTAGAAGGGATAACATAACACAACTTACATCATGTAACATAATATTTGACTGCCTAAAAATAATCACTGTCAAAGTGTTGAAGATATAATTAAAAATTAACAAGGGATATGCATAATCTCCCTATAAAAATGACAAGAGTTTGAACTGGCCACCATTGAGACAACTAACAAGTTAAAATGGAGAACTCCCCTTTACACTGATTCTTCCAGCAAAAATTTCAAAATCAAAAACACTTTCAGATTTAAAAACCAAATAAGAGACAAAAAAAGAAAATGTTGAAGTGGCTAAGCAGGTGAGAAAGATTTAACCACCTTGATAATGTGCTTGGAAGATCTGACAACAATCTCATTAGTACAAAGATCCCACAGATGAGATAGATGTTTAGTCCCACCAGCCACCTTTCACAGAATGACAGAAATAAGGAGATGCCAGAAGAATATAAGAATTATCAAATGACAAGAAAACCACCAAATAATTGGAACTTGATTCTGTTGACCAACTCCCAAAGCAATTGTTTCAGAAATATTAACCAAAATATAGAGCGTACTTTGCCAATATAGCGAACATTAATTCCATGAGCATGGAGTGCTTCTATTAATGTTTGACCGTCCATAGGTGAAACCTCAAGTGTGCATAGATCTTGTATAAACTTTGGAATCACAACATCAGTAAGATATAGACTAACTTTTCTCACATTGTTTTCATCCGCAGCTATTTCCTGGTGAATATGATCAAACATAACAATATAAGAATATCATGAGCGCTCAGAGTGAAACATGAATTTTCATACAGAAAGCACACACATATGCACCCAGGGATGTAGGAAAGGATGAACAGTCAGATACATAAATAAACACACAAACAAAGTCACACATACACACATAGAAAGGGGAAAGACCAATTGTTAGGCATAGATAAATGCAACACAAGATTCAGAAGAAACCTCTGGGCTCCCAGCTAGTTTGAATTCAGTGAAAACATTTGGGTTAAACACTATTTCATCATAATGATCAGAGCCTTCTGCAGATGCAGAAGAAAGTTCTTTGGCATCCTCCGTTTTCTTTTCCTTTGTCAAATCCTGCAGAAAGCAATCAAAAGCACATAATCAGAGTTTATCTGTTATATTGGAACTAAATCTCCAAAAAATATCCGTATTTCCTGCTAGTCCTAAACTGATAACCAGACTAGTCATTTGACATGATACTTAGAATACAGAATATGTGCTATATAACCAATGTTTGGTAGTTCAGCAGGACAAAAAAAAGTGAGACTGGTACTAGATGAAGTTGAAACAAGTAGTTTATTTACAAAACAGAGGTGGTGATGATATAAATCCAAGTCATAACACATGGACACCCTTAAATCCAAGTCCACATTATCCTTGGAAGCAGAAATGCATGAAGAAAGAATTTGTTTCAGAAGAACACAACTTAATTAAGTACGATTTAAATCTGCAACAATGCTTACAGGCTTGTCAGCATCATCAACATTTTGAGAATCAGTTGCCAAGTTATTTTTCCCCTCAGAATTAGTCTCCTTGGATTTTGATTTAACTGCTTCGGCCTATTCCCACAAAGGGCAAGCTATGTGAAACTGAATATACAAAGGAAATCCCCAAATATTGTTTATATTGGAGTACTGTACTTACAATGTGAAGTGCACATTATCCACGGAGGCAGGAATGCATAAAGAAAGATTTTGTTTCAGAAAAACACAAGTTAAGCACGACACTTATATATGCAACAATGCTTACCGGCTTGTCAGCATCAGCAACATTTTGAGAATCAGTTGCCAATTTATTTGTCCCCTCAGAATTAGTCTCCTTGGATTTTGATTTAACTGCTTCAGCCTATGTCCACAAAGTGCAAGCTATGTGAAACTGAATATGCAAAGGAAATCCCCGAATATTGTTTATATTGGAGTACTTTACTTACCTGGCAGAAGGCATCAATTAATTCTGCTCTTAAGATACAAAATTGAGAATCAGGTTCAGTATAGTTTGCATCCCGGGGAGTTACCCTCAACAACTCTAGCAGATAATGCCTGATTTGATTTCAAAAGAAAAGCACATCAGTTCATGGCACAGTAGACAATAATTGACACAAATTCAAGTTTGTATTGAACCGAAGTTGAACATCATAGCTAATAACATATGGTTGACAAGCTTCCTATTTACCTTCAGGAACATTATTCAACCACAAATAATATACAAAAGAAAGCCAGAATGGAGTAACATATATCAGCAAAGCCCATCACAGTCTTAAGTGTATTAAACTAAACTTGGACTAGGTAACTAGTAATTATGGTTGACAAACTTCTTGTTTATCAGTGTTCAATCACATTCTTCAACCATAAATAACATACAAAAGAAGGCCAGAATGGAGTTACAAGTATTATCAACGCCCAAATCACAATCTCAAGTGTATTAAACTAAACTTGAACGATGTTACTAATAACTGTTGTTGATAAACTTCCTATTACCAGTGTTCAATAACACTATTCAGTTCAACCATAAATAACATACAAAGAAATCCAGAATGGCATTACATATGTCATTAATATCAAAATTACAATTTTAAGTATAGAAGAAAATCAAGCCTAGCTTCCTATCATATGAAGCTTTTGAAAATCTGCTGAGAAAAGGTCACCAAACAAACCACCCCAAGAAAGAAACTACCTGTCGTCACTGCCAACAATGCCCTTGCTTTCCACTGGTGCAGCTAATTTGAAAACGTTTCCAGATCCATCCATGACTGAGTGCTCCTTCAAATGAAGGCGTTTGGCAGCCTCGGATACCTGAAATAAGAAGAGCTTAAAAAAATACAAAAGAAATCCATTTGATAGAGAATGCAGAAAATAGCAACCCCTAAAAAGAATTCTTATTTACAATTCACAGATAAAAATGTTATTTCCTTTAACAGAAAATTTGCTTATATTTTCACCAATGTAAGCATGGTTTCATTCGCAATGCAGTTGCAATAAATGCTAAAAATTCAAATCTGATACACTCACTAAAATAAATTAAAAGTTCAGCATCCTTCTTACCTTAGAATGAAAATCTTCATTCCAGCAAATTTTCTTTCCCTTATCAACAGAGCCATACAGGACGGAGTCCATCTTGTCCCCTTGAAGAATGCCTGGTAAGACACTCTGCAGCGAAATAAATAATTTGAAATCTCAACAGAAATGTAATTGTCAACACGGATTAATGGGTTTTACATTAACAAAAAATTTGTCTTACTTCCATTATAAATAAACACAGTTTAAAATCTAGCCAGCTATCATCTCAAGCAAAAGAATTCAACAAAAAGGACTTATCTAGATTTCTTAATCAATGCAGGATTATTAATAGCAACCATTGAGATGTCATACAAATCTATTCTGAATAGATAGCAATACACGTACAACATTAGGATGTCTTCTGTACTTTAAATGAAATATTTAAAATATATATTTATATGTACATCATTTTATTTTATTTTTAAAAAAGTATTAGCAGTACTACACAATATATGTTCATAAAACCAAATAGAATAAAAGATGCACATGTTTTGGCACATTGTACAGCCATTTCCACCCATTTTAGTGTCATTCAGATTCTGTTTCTTACCACTCGTAGCTGTTTTGATTCAAAGTGTTTAGCACAAAAGTTACAAAAACAAAAGCAAGAATAGTTCAATTCATACAAATATGTATGAGAGTATGACAAAAACACCAAACAGCCATATCTATGCTTAGACAAAAAAATTGAATGCACCACAAGTAAAATCTTGAACCCTATAATTAATTGCATTTTTTTGAAAAGGAGGAAGCTATCAATAGGTAAACTTCTACTTCAGAGCACACCTGAGCTACCACTCTGTGACCCCTGTAGTCAATTATAGCCATAGCAAGATTATAAAGTCCTGGGACATCAACTTCCTGGTAAGCCTTTGTGCCCTTCAATTCATTATTTGCAGAAGCATATGTGGTCTGCTCACTCTCAGCAAGATGTGCTTCAGGAGGAATATCTTGAGTGACTTCCATGCCATTAATAAGATCTTCCAAACTTGAACCATTATTTTCCCCCCCATTGGGAACATGTAAGTCTGAAGATTTTTCAGAAGAACAGTGCAGAGTGCCTGTGCTCCATGTTTTTGAATTAGCATCTGTAGTTTTCTTTGACAGCTGCTTAAGGTCAGCATCAACAGCAAAACTAAAGAATATATTGTTGTGCACGTATCTATTACAAGAACACAAAAAACACTGATAAGCCAACACCTTACATTGAATAAAGTCAAGCTTTTGTGCAGAGAAAAGGGAAATCTCACAGATGAAAACAGTGCACGACAAATCAGCTACAACAATGACGATTTCAACAAGTATTATAAACATGAGAAAGAACAGTATTATATTATATTATATAACATACTTTTTCCATAATTGTGTACCATACTTGAGACAGTCGTGTAACAGACAAGTCCTTCACAAGGAAGTTTTATAGGCCAAGGGGGAGTATCTTCGACCCCCAACCCCAAAAAACCAAGAAAAGCGTAATATGTAGCTTGCACTAGAGCATACTTAATTTCAAGAAAACAATATCAGAATAAAAAACAATATCAGAATAAAAAACAATATCAGAATGCAGGAAAAACTATTTAGAATTTCAAGAAAGTCAATAATATTTTGGATAAATTTCTTAATTTTAAACATTAGGTCAAACTAACATGTGAAAACATTCAGGGTCGGTTGGGTTTATTGGAGAAATGCAGCCGCTAATCACTCCAATAGCACCATTAATAGCTGCATCAACAAAGTCTGATGTCACTTTATAAAGTGCCCTATGCTGCACAATCCTGCAATAATGGACAGCTCACCCATGAAATGTAGATAATAAATGAGTCAAGTCATCGCCAATAGAAAAAACTAAAGGACATTCATACTTTTGAAGTCATCAAGTTATGAATCATGTAAAGGTACCTCTCCTGTGGACTTGTATGAGGAAATTCTCGACAAGATTGCAGCTCTTCATTCCAATCTCTTTGCATTCCAATTGGCTCACTTCCATATAGAAGAGTCAAGGAATTCTCAGACCTAGCAGAGTCTCTTCTGTGGTCTGCCAATGAAAGAAATGAATTTACAAAATAGAGCAACACAGCAATTCTCAATTACAATTTACTCAGTGCTACATGCATAGCCATGTAAGATGAAAAGTTAATAAAATAAACTATAAAATCGTTCTGCTAATAAGTATGCATATTGAATGAATGATTTTGTGCCATTGAAAGTTGAATCTCAAGTCATATAAAGTGAAACAATCAGAATAATTAATATCAACTACCTCAAACTACCCCACGTTTCTCAATCATCATTTTTTTTTCCTCTTTTTTTTTTTTGAAAAAAAGATTCTCAATCGCCTTTCATCAACACTGAATAAAGTTTCAAATCCACACTATGATTTACAGTGTGGGGACCATAGACGGACGAAAAAATCACTAGGTTAGAATAAAAGCTTCAAAAAGTTGACTTCTGCTTTAACAACTGAAACGTTGTCATGTTCAACGGGTATTTGTAAATTGTAAGATATTAACAAAGAATAAAATGGATGCTGTGTCAGTTGAATAAGCATTTTAATGTTAATGGAGTTGGAAATTTTCAGCTCACCTCTTAATAAAAATAATTAGATTTTATCACACAAAATATAAATTAAATAACATCATATAATAAAATAACCAATAGAAATCATCTTCAAAAAAGTATCAGAAGCATTTATCCTTGGTAGCAAGTTATTAAAGTTTTTTCATCAAGAAAGTATCTGTTAATAGCCTCACATGCAAGTGATAAAACAAAGTAAATAATGTTTACCAAAAAAATAAAAATAATAATCACAAGAATGCATGTGAGCTTACTAGCCAACTGCACCAAGTTCAAGATATGCCAAAAACAAGATTTTCAATTTTCCATCACAGAAGACAAAAAGAAAAAATATATCACCGACCACTAAAGGAAAACCAACCCACTTACCCAACTCTAGGAGCACAAGTTACTATAACATAAAGAATTGAAAATATAATACTGATGAAACAAATTGCCGGAGGCAGAGCTCACCAGGAGCTGGGTATAATCCAAGCCATGAATTAGGTGACAACACAGACTGCACATTTTCAAAAGGATGGGCAGCAGCTCTCTGCTCCAAAATTTCCCGGAAAGCTTTATAATTGAACAAGGATATAAGTTTTGATTCTCAAAGCCCAAATTGACAAACTTAAATCTTAAAACAATGAGTACTTAAATGCACTTCATTACCTTTTTTGAACTTGGGGCTAATCATTTGTAAGAGAGAAACAAGAGTTGTTGCTTCAAAAGTAGCTTTGCTTGGCCTCGAGTCAAAAGTATTTTCCGTGCTGGAGTTGACATAAAACATCCTTGTACTTCCCGTTATACAAAGTTTATTACCCTCCAGAGTTATCACATCTAAATAAAGCAAATCTCCAACAAGCCTGCAAACCACAGAACACCTTGTCAGATGCCATTAAACAAGGATATGATATATATTAACTTCGAACACATTTCTCGAGTTACCTTCTATAGCTTGGAGGAGGATTAAAAGACGAAAACACTATGCTCTCCATGCACTTAACCTCTTTCAGCGGGGACGCTAGCAAATTACCCAATGAATCAGAGACATCATCCATATAACCAAGTCCATCAAGCTCCGGAACCTCAGTTTTCAATGTATCTGATATTCAAGGAAATGCAGAAGAAGACTACTAATTACACATTTACATATTTCATAGAGTGATAACGTACTAAACAGCAACCAGCTAAGCATAGCTTAACAAGGACTCATAAAACTCAAAAAACAAGGTACAAAACAGTAATAAAATATAGCCAAAAACCAATAAAGAGAATAGAACTATCCCATACCTCCAGAATTTGCAGCTTTATTCTGTGCTACCTCATTCGGCGGGGCAAGTGAGGTGGACAAGGAAGCATGAAGGTCCGAAAGGGAAAGCAACTCTCTCGTATGATGAACATGAGCCCTCATGGTTCTATCATCATACAATGCTGCAAAGACAATTAATTAACTTTGACTTCCCAAAACATGCTTCAAGAAACATAAAGATACACAATTCATCATACCAGGAACCATTTCCAAGGAACAACCACCAGTGGTAATGTCAGCTACATCTGAAATTGTGCTGTAATCTTCCAGGTGATGAGAGGATCCATCCTTTGTGTGTAAGAACAAATGATAGCACGTGATATAACACGTGTCCGGAGTATCAAGAAGGAGCTGTCTTACTTCCATTACAGTGTCTCCAGGGCTCAACTATTAACCAAATTTATCAAACAACTTAACTTAGAACACTGCTTTGATAATAAATTATAGAGAAATCATACTCTTATGTTTCATGAAATTGCTCTCACTTCGAAAAATGTGCCTCTATTTTTTCTTTTTTTCTTTTTTTTTTTTAAATTGGTGGGGCTCACTTTATTTGTCTCTTAGCACGAGAGAACTTAAAGAGAACTTCACTCATATTACATGAGAGAAATAATCCCCTAAATTATAACAACATATGACTTTTCACACATAAATTCACCTTTAGGTCGAGCTTGTCCCCAGTTTGCGTTTTAACAGAGACAGAGTAAAGGAGAAGATCACCTGCACCATCAAGGCATTACTCAACACAAATTTTATTTTATTATTATTAAATTGATTAAATTGAAAAAACAATGCAATGCATATCAAATATCAGAGGTTGACCTTGTTTTTGTTCTGTCTCTGCATTTGGCGTTTCATCAGCTGCTTCAACCACTTTTACCTCTTCTTTATTGTCCTTTGCTTTTGCTGGAATGTGTTCTGAACCATTGTTATTGTTCTTGGTATTATTATTATGCGAACCTCTTCTGCTCCTTCCTTTGCTTGACTTTCCAGCCATTTCTGAATTCAAACCAAATAATCAAACAGTGTCAGTCACTACTAATGTTACTATTGTATATATATACAAATTTTTGCTTTTTCAAGTTCTCTGTGAAAAATAGTGCGAGATTACCAGAGGAACTTGGCGATTACAGAGGAAGAAGAAAAAGCATAGAGAAATGGGGGTTTTAGTTTGAGAAATCGGAGAGAGGTTTTGGTTATGGTTATAAGAGACGACGAAATAAAGAGGCAGGGAAGCGAATCAACAGCTATTTCCAATAACTATAGTGGGCTGGGCCTTTTCTTTCAATTGCCTTCACTTCTTTTCCTCTTTTAACCTTCTACTCTTTGGTATTTCATTAACTTCAAGATCACCAAACAAAATATTTTTTGATTTTTTGTCAAGAAATCACACGACATAAAAGAATTGCCTGTTTTAGAATTTAGCTAAAAAAAAGCGTAGATAAGTTACCGATTGACAATCTCATTTTTTAATCACTTTATTACGATCGATTATGAACCACCGACACTTCAAAGTCTCTAACGTGCCATATTCGACATTCACCGACACTCCAATACTCATTGAAAAGACTCAAAAAATGGTTTAAATGTTACGTTGCGTTGCATTTTGAGTTCCAACTATTAAATTTGTTGGATTACGATTACTATTTTATTGAGTTTAATATAAACATTTGGGATATCTTATATTTCATTACAAAATTGATGGGTATTATAAGTTTAGCTTTATTTTTTTGTTAAATTATTAAATATTAAATATAATATACACTACATAAATTAAAAATATTATACAATATTAAAATGTGTCCTAACGTGTCGAAATTTAACATTTTTAGAATTAACGTGTCGGAGTGTCGTGTCGTATTCCGTGTCCCATGTCGATGTCGGTGCAACATAGATGACCGATGTACTTGCTGAAGTCGCAATGGTATCAATTAAAATCAAATTTATTTTCTATGAGCCCGCATCAGATACACCAAGTATTCTTACAGGTAAAATTTGTTTTTAAGAGGTAATAATCAAGAGTAAAGTCTCTTGTGGGTCCCTAACAAAAAATACGGTCCCCATTTTTGTCTCTTGCAAAAAAAAACCCATATTAGTCATTTTTCAAAGGCCAAAATGGGTCTTCATTGAATTTCTAAGGGGCCATAAGTTCAAAGAACTGAAATTGTCGACTAAAGGATCAAAAGTTGACTTTTTGTTTTTGTAAAGGACAAAAGTGGGGACCGTGTTTTTTATTAGGGACCAAAAGTGATTTTACTCAATAATCAATATAATTATCAAATTCTCGTCTTAAGAGTCCTCTTTTTTTTCGGTATAATTGGAGGTATCTCCATTTAACCTCCCACGGACACCTTATCCTCAAAATATAGCGATGGCTACCCTGGTTGGAACAGCAGGTGCATTGAGCTTCGCTACCAAAGAAAGGATGAGACTAATCCCCCTTCGAGGAGAGAGGCACACTGCCCCTAAAGATTTTTCAAGAATTTGCTTGATAAGAGATTTGAACTCTTAACCCAAGCAAACCCTTGAAAGCTCATTTACCAACTAAGCTACCATTGGGGTTGGTGAGTCCTCCCAACCTCAAATACCCGGACACGCTATTTTTCAAAAAAAAATGCATGTCGGACACGTGTTCGACACGGACACATTCCGACACGCGTCCGACACGCGGTCAACATTTCGGGACACATGGTCAACTCTCCGACACGCCCCGACACATTTTTCGACACGCAGTCAACTTTTTTTGACACATGGTCAACGTTCTGACACTTTTTTTTTAGTCTTAATTTTATTTTATTAACTAAAAATAAAAAAAAATCATTTATAAATCAATTTTTTCTGTTATGAAATTTGACATGTAAAATTAACAAGGTACAAATTGTTTTTTATTTATGTTATTAAATTTGAATATTTGATTGGTTATATGACTTATTATGAACTGTTATATGTATTAAATATAAATTATATTATATATATTAAAAATATTATTTAATATCAAAACGTGTCCCAACATGTCGAAATATGCCATTTTTTAGAATTAACGTGTCGGCGTGTCGTGTCCCGTGTCCGTGCATTATAGCTCCCAACACAAAGCGTCTGGTTCAATTGGCACTTACGAGCAGGGTTGGCAAAATGGGTCAACCCGACCCGACCCAACCCGCATTCAACCCGGAAAAAATGAACCGGGTTAGGGTTAGCTCGAAAAAAAACGAGCCAGAAAATCCAACCCAACCCGACACGAGTCGGGTTCGGTTGGCTCTAGGTTGGCTCAAAATTATGGCTCGTGGGTTGGGTTGAAAAAATAGCTCACGAGTTGGCTCGAAAATTGGCTCGCGGGTTGGCTTTTTTTCAGCCTATTTAAATGACCATATAGTATTAATGCACCAGTTATGTGGCTTCCATTAGCTTAAACAAAGGGTTACAAAATAAGAAATAAAAACAAAATATTTTAGTTTCGAATTTTCTTCACAATAAATTTGCATCAACATCCAGAAACAATCAGAACACTTGCTACCAAGTGGGTATGATATTTGAACCAAACAGAGCCAGCACAGCCTAACAATATAAAAATGGCAGGGATGTGAGAAGATTAGGGACTTAAGTTTAAAGAAGGAAGAAAAGTGATGACAACATGTGTGTGGGTTTTGTCCATTTTTTTATATTGTATTTTGTATTTTTTTATAAAAAAAAACTCAACCCATGAGCTGGCTCACGAGTTGAAACGAGCCAAGTTGGCTCGGGTTTACAGCTCATTTCCCGGCTATTTTTTGACTAGTTACTAGACAAGTTTGGCTCGTTTTTGCCGATCCTCTTGTGAGATGTTATGAGTACAACTGTACATGGATGTTATGAGTGCATCTGTACATGGCTCACAAAGGAGGTAAATATGTTGATATACCATGACTTGAAGATGATAAAACATTACTACAACATCTTCATTTTCCATGGCCTTGGAGCTTAAGAAGTGCCTTGTTGAAGGGTTCAACTCCTTCAAGCATGTGAAGCATGTCCACTGTCGCCTCTTCCGTCTTTGTCTCCACCAAGACAACTACCTTGTTAACATGATCTTGCGCTCTTGCTTAGACTTTGGTCACACACAATACACCAAACTTGTTTTCAACCAAACCAAGGATCCAAACATATATCTTTGGAACACCATGATTCGAGGGATGGTGTCCAACGATTGTTTCCATGATGCTATTCAACTCTATGGTTCAATGCGCATAGCGGGGTTCATCCCTGATAACTTCACTTTCCCTTTTGTCCTCAAGGCATGTGCTAGGCTCTCGTGTTTCCAGTTGGGTCTTAACCTTCATTCCCTCGTTGTCAAAACGGGGTTTGATTTTGACGTGTTTGTCAAGACTAGTCTCGTTTGTTTGTACTCGAAATGTGGGTACTTGAAGGATGCACGCAAGGTGTTTGATGATATTCCTGATAAAAATGTTGTTTCTTGGACTGCAATCATTTGTGGGTATATTGAATCTGGCCATTATAAGGAAGCTATTGATTTGTTTAAAGGGTTGTTGGAGATGGGTTTGAGGCCTGATAGTTTTAGTCTTGTTCGTGTTTTATATGCTTGTACTCGGTTAGGGGATTTGGTTAATGGACAATGGATAGATAGATATATAACTGAGAGTGGTTTGCACAAGAATGTCTTCGTGGCCACCTCTTTGGTTGATATGTATGCCAAATGTGGAAGCATGGAAGAAGCACGTTGTGTCTTTGATGGAATGCTTGAGAAGGATATTGTTTGTTGGAGTGCCATGATTCAGGGTTATGCGTCCAATGGGCTTCCTAAAGAAGCACTTAACTTGTTCTTTGAAATGCAGAAAGAAAATCTGAAACCGGATTGCTATGCCATGGTGGGAGTTCTTTCTGCATGTGCAAGGTTGGGAGCACTGGACTTGGGGAATTGGGCCAAGGGTTTGATGGATGCTAATCAATTTTTGTCTAATCCTGTCTTAGGTACTGCCTTGATTGACTTGTATGCAAAATGTGGAAGCATGGCACAAGCATTGGAGGTCTTTAAAATGATGAAGGGGAAAGATCGTGTGGTCTTTAACGCGGTTATTTCTGGACTGGCTATGAATGGACATGTCAGAGCTACATTTGGAGTATTTGGCCAAATGGAAAAGCATGGAATGCAGCCAGATGGGAACACTTTCGTTGGTTTACTTTGTGGGTGTACTCATGCTGGTCTTGTTAATGATGGTCGCCGTTATTTTAATAGCATGAGTCATGTTTTTTCTGTAACTCCTGCTATTGAGCATTATGGATGCATGGTGGATCTCCTAGCCCGTGCAGGTTTGTTGTTTGAAGCGCAGAATTTGATCAAGAGTATGCCAATGAAGGCCAATGCTATTGTTTGGGGGGCATTATTGGGAGGATGTAGGTTACATCGGGATACCCAATTGGCTGAACATGTGTTGAAGCAGCTCATTGAGTTAGAACCATGGAATTCAGGACATCATGTTCTCTTATCAAATATATATTCAGCAAATCGTAGATGGGATGAAGCAGAAAAAATTAGGTCAACTTTGAATGAGAAAGGCATGCAAAAATTACCTGGTTGTAGTTGGGTTGAAGTTGATGGGGTCGTTCATGAATTCCTTGTAGGAGACACTTCTCATCCTTTATCACACAAGATATATGAAAAACTTGAAAGATTATTTAAGGACTTGAGAGAAGCTGGTTATAATCCAACCACTGATTTTGTGCTCTTTGATATAGAGGAGGAGGAGAAGGAGTACTTCCTTGGCTGTCATAGTGAGAAGTTGGCTGTTGCATTTGCATTGATCAATACTAGCGCCAAAGATGTGATTCGTGTTGTTAAAAATCTTCGTGTATGTGGCGATTGCCATGAGGCTATGAAACTCATTTCGAAAGTTACGGGGAGAGAGATAATCATTAGGGATAATAACAGATTCCATTGTTTTAGTGAAGGCTCATGTTCTTGTCGGGATTATTGGTAAAAATTTTGATGCATTGTGAGGTCTAAAAAATCTCAACTCATTGTCTGACTCACTTCAAAAGTTGTCAGACATCAAAGTTTCTCTTGCATATGTTGAAATGGTATTTTGTGTTTCTGTAACTTCTGTTAACCCTTTACAAATATTCTGAAAAGGGTAAAAATGAAATCTATGACATCTGGCACCTGCCTTGAGTATAGTGGGGATCCGAGTTAGTTTTGCTGCTTTCAGATGGAGAAATGGCCACTTGTTAAATGTTCCTTCCATCCCTCAATTTGAAGCAGCAATTTGGGTCCAAAGATGAACTTGAAAGTTGCTGTCATGTTGGAGAATGCAAATACTTTTCTCTAGGTCTTAATGATTGCAAGTGAGCCCTTGAATTACGTATTTGCTGACTATTTTTTGATTCCCTAAGGACCTAATTGTGGTTCTGGAAAACTATGCTCGACAGAGCTCCTAATTGGGAGAACTTGAGCATAAATTTGAGATCAACTTTACATACAACTTAGACCAGTCAGCTGGTGGAAGTCTAGCAAGAATGCAAACATCCTTTGGCAATTGATTGGCAAGTCATACTGCATTTACATAAAGGCTGTTTCCCCCATTTAGGGTGAAACCATAGCCATTTCATCCATTTGTTATGGCTGCGAAAATAATTTCCAACCGGGTAGTCAGTTCCGCAAACCCACCTCCACGAACTCTTTTTCATTCAATATCTTTTCATAAAAAGTTGTAACATCATCACTCATTTTATTTTATTTTTTGTTAAACACATCATCACTCACTCATTAGTTACAGCCTACAGGAAAACAAACCCTTCTAGTGAATAAGAGACAAAGTTATCTAAAGTAACTTTAAAAAAAATGGATTATATGCTATGTTGTTCTTTTTGCAATTTTAATATTTCGTTCTTTCCTTTTAAAAATTTAAAATAACATTATTTTATATTTTTAATTTATTTTTTATCAATTGAAAAAGATTCACTTCTCAATAATTATTATTTTTTGATAAATTTCATTGTACACTCTTATTACTATTTCATTAATATTTATTTATCCGCACTCACATTCTAATATGGGGCAAAATTCTTTGATACCTGGGTCAAACTTTTTAGTTTGACATTAAATTTTAATTGTTAATTTTGTGAATCTTATAGTTATAATTTATTGGGTCATAATTCTTAATTCTTAATAAATTATAAATATTAGATTGAGAAAAATCAACGATTGAGATTTGATGTCAAATTTTTTAGTTTAACACCGGTGTCAAAGGATCATGTCACTTTTAATATATATTTTTTAAAATTGGGTATTTTATCATCTTTTAGGATACAAACAACATTTTAATTTATTTTTTAGCTTTCGGGAGACCATTTTTGAACAAAGCCGAATTTAAAATAACCAATTCTGTGCTTATAACCATATGACATTGCGGAATAAATGAAACTAAGCTTAACATCATATTCTTATTTTATTTCACCATACTTTACTAATTATGTACTTCTTTTATAGTTCTCATCTCCTACTATGTTATAGATCTCTTCGTTATCTTCGCCTGGGTTCAAACTGTGTTCAATTCGGAGCACTGTAGCTCAAGTTATGCAATTTTTACTAAATCATGTCTGTTCATATTTCAAGTAGCACGTTTTAGCGCTCAACTGGGCGTTAAAACGGCCAGAGGCAGAGAATCTGGCCTTCTCCAGGTCTTCAGCACGTTTTAGCGCTCAACTTGGGCGTTTTAGTGCCCACTTACGCGTTTTAGCGCCCACTTAGGCATTAAAACGCCTAAGGACAGAGATTTTTCCTCCATTTCACGAACGCATCGCGTTTTAGCGCCCTTATCAGCGCTAAAACGCTCTCCAACTGGGCCACACATGCCCTCCCCTGTTTTCCTATAACCTCATGAGGAAATCCCTCCCTCTTTCACCATCCTCTTAACACCTAATAGACTATGAATTGCCAACAATATCCAACACATATTGTGGCTCTTACATCCCATCATTTTTCTTTAATCCCTTAAATACTCCTTGCACCAATCTATAATTACAACAACATAATATTGTATTACATCAATGTCCTTCATAATAACATACATGCCAAAGAACTTAGCTATCAAAGAGACATGATCAAAGTCATTGCTCACGAACAACATGGTAGTTACCACTACTAAGATCATGCACTAAGTCCTCCAAATATACATCATATGGTCATGTGAATGACATATATATATATATATATCTAACAATCCTAATGGATATGCAGTCCAAAAATGACAAACTATCATGTGCCATCTACTCAGGCCTCTTGCCTCGTCCCGCATCATCCATGCTAGCACCTGAAATAACATTCCCCAAACAGGGTGAGATAAAACTCAATAAACTCAGGGTTCTTGGAAAGCTCTTCCAACCCCAGAGTTCACTTCCTGAATGAAGGGTTAGTATCCACACGGCATGAATTACATCATATATCCAAAGGCAATAATAGCAATGATTTAATTAAAGCATACTCGTGCATTCAAATGCCAAAGAATTAAACAATCAAATCATCACACACGCTTCAGTTGCATCTTAGTCCTTTCCACTAAGCATACAACCTAGCCCCTAGTGCTTGCCCATTGGCCCTTTCTCCAATGACACAACAATACTATATGAATGCAAACATACCATAATATTAACATTACCACTCAATCATCCATTTATTAACCATTACTTCCATAAAAGCAATGGTGGAACAACAAGAGGGATTAACCTCCAAGATCCAAAGGTTTACCTCTTGATGTTTCCTCTTCTTTGCAAGCTTTCTTCTAGCTCACTTATCCATACAAACCTTTCTTGGTGTGTCACTTGGTAATTCCTTCCAATCACCAACGTTACCTAAACAAAATCCGAAATTCAATCAACAAGGAATTCATTTGGAATTGTTATGAAAACAAACTTTCCTACTCAACACCTCCATTAAGGTGCATATTCTATCAACTTCTCAATAGTCCCATGGTAACTAAAGGAATCTTTCCATTCACATTAGTCATACAAGGCATCACAATGCTTGACCACAAGGTTAGGCTACTTACCAATCCTTGAAATAATTCAAGTACACAAACCAAGCTCCATTGGTTCCCCTATGGCTTGATCACTCACAATTGGTCCACTTGCTTCAATCCTAGCAATCATATGGACACAATCAATCAAGGCTCAACAATATAAGAAATCCACACTTTCAAGCATAATTTTTCAAGATTATTGAAACTAACTCAAATCATAAACTAACTTCACTTCTACCATTTATTTACCATTCCTAACAACTTTTACAAAGGAATTTAGCTTCAATCTAACTCAAGCTCATCAAACTCACAAAATCACTATTCATCATCTTCAACCTCATGCAATCACCATGGAAATAAGGTTTGAGAAGTAAAAACTTACCCCAAAGGATCACACAACCAATGAATGGTGGTCTCCTAAGCTCCCATGGAAGAAAATGCCATCAAACTCCTTAAATCACCAAGTGGGTTGAATTCTTGGGAGGAAGATATCTCACTCCACAATGCTCCACACTCAAAACTAAGCTAGGATTTGCAATGAAGGAAGGATTCTCTACATTTTTGGCTTTGGAACGGATGGATTTGGTGGAGAAATGGAGAAGCTAAGGTTTGAGCTTCAAATGTCTCTCCCTCTCTCTCAAGCGCTGAATCCGTCGGGGAAGAAGAAGCAAATGGGTTGAGGTTCTATTTTTTTAGCACATAACATACTAAGTTATCTCAACCGGGTATAAGCTCATCTATCTATTTAGCTTCGTTCTCTTTCCAACTTTATTCAAAGGTCTGGAATATTTTTATAGGGATATTTTTTCTTTTACTTTTATATTTTGAATACTTTTGCCTACACCCATTTTTATCCCTTAATTTTCACTAACGGCACTTTTTACCTAAAAAATGACCTTAATTCATTTAATTAGATATTTTATCTAATTCAACCCAATAATGCATGATTAATTATTTAATCACATGCAATTTCCTAAATACTTGAATTAGGGATATTATATTGCTGCATAATTTTCTTTTACAACAATAGAATTATATTTCCTGTATGTATGTATATATACATATATATATATATATATATATGGAAAAAGTTTAAAAACCCAATATGGTATTGCTTTGAATCACTTATATCTCTGTGGTTTTTTTAATCACTTAAAATCTGTGGTTTTTTTATCCACACCCCTCTTTTTTCATAATATTTTATCTTATTTTTCTTTTTCTTTTTATTCACTTATACCCTTGTATTTTTTTTAATCACTTGTTCCAATGTGGTCATGTGTTCGACGCCTAGGAGAAGCACTTTGGGGCCAATGGTGAAGTCCAATGTCGCTCCCAAGTCCATCCTACGGGACAGAGACACCCTGAGTTTACTCAAAAAAAAGTTATAAAGAAAAAGAAAAAGAAAACCAAATATTATGAAAACTTATAACACTTAATAAAAGACTAAAATAAAAAAAGTAGCAAAAAAAATCAAAGGTGTCATGTGTCAAAATAAAAAAGGAAGTAAATGTATAAAAAATAGAAGAAAAAATAAAATCAAATATATTAAAAATCACAACAATGACATAAAAGACTAAAATTAAAAAAAAATCTAAATGAAAAAATATATATTGAAGATAAAAAAATAGAAGAAAAATTATGATAAAAAAGAAATAGAATAAAAAGAAATCACAGTTATGAATTTCTAATATATTTGCTTTTATTATTATTTCTTGTCTTTGGTCTATTTATTATTTTTATTTAGATATATTTGGTCTTTTTTATATCTCTTTTTTAATTTTTTTTATGAAAATCTTTAGGAGATGAGGTGGCATAAGGCTAAAAAAAATAGAGGAGAAAAATAGAATAAAATAGACCAACAAGTATAAAAAAGAAAGACCAAACATATCTAAATAAAAAAGAATAAAATAGACCAAGGACAAAAAAAATTAAAGAAAAAACGAAACTAAATATATTGGGAAACTCACAAGTGATTTCTTTTTTATTTTATTTTTTGTCTGAATTTTTTCTTTTGGTGATTTGTCTTTGGTATA